CCACCGTGTTCCCCCACCCCCGCCCCAGTCCGAGTCTACCTTGGGGCCCCTTCGAGTCTTCCAAAGCCCCTAGCCACTGCTGACCCCTGGTGGCCACTCTTGGTTCTGCACTCAGCCCCTCGCGACTGTTCCCGGTGGGGATGAGCGGCTATTTTGGAGGCCCCAAGAGGGACCGCCACCCACTCCTTTCCCAAGGTCCTCCTGCCGAGCCTCTGCCCAGGCCGGGCCACCTCCCTGGCTTCCCTCCCTCCCACGCTGAGCTCACGGCCCCCTTCTTTCTCTTTCTCTCTCCCCCTGCAGTGGGGGCCGCAGCCTGGGCGAGGAGGGCCCCCCCACCCGCGGCGCCTCCCCGCCGACCCCCCCAGTCAGCATCAAGTCCGAGCGCCTCTCGCCCGCCCCCGGGGGTCCCGGCGACTTTCCCAAGGCCTTCCCCTACCCCTTGCTCCTGGCCCGGCCCCTGGCAGAGCCCTTACGGCCTGGGCCCCCCCTGCGCCGGATGCCCACTGCCGACAGCTGGCCCCGGTAGTGGACCTGGGGGTGCACCGGCCCTGACCCCCCCAACGCCGGGTGGGGTGAGGGCATTTGGGGTCCCAACCTCCCTCCCCGCGTCCTTAGAGAAGACCCAGTGGTGGGGGCCGGGAGGGGGAAGGCTGGGTTCGGATCCACGGCCAGGGGCTCCTTTCCCTCTTCCTGTGCGTGCATCCACCAATAAAACACGCGGCGTCCGTGGACGAAACTCTCTGTCGCTGCGCAGAGCCACCCCCCGCCCGGGTCTCCCCCAGCGGCCTCTCCAGAATCCGCCCCTGAGAGGGGAACTCGAGGGCAGGTGGGGTGCCAGGGAGCACAGCTGGTGGGGGTGGCGACATGAGAGGAGGAGCCCTGCAGGGGGCGCCAACGGGCACCTGACGCCGTGGGCAGTGGGGGGGTCCTGGAGGACCCCGCAGGGTGCGCACTTAGAGTGGTTGCACCTCAGGAGCGAGGAGCTGGGCCATTTACCCGCCAACTCCTGGGAGTGTCCGGTGGTGGCCTCAGGTGGAAGCCCCCAAGCTGGGCGCAATCGCTTCCAGCAAGAAGCAGCCACTACACTGTTCGTCTTTTAAGTGGGCATATCCCTTGATCCCTTGACCCAGCAATTCCCTTCCACTGGAGGGAGGAGGGAGCTGGGGGTTTATCCACCCACTTCCGGGGGCACAAACTCCTCCCCCACACACACCCCGGGGCCTGTCCTGTGTGTGAGGGCCGACTTGGGGGTTCAGGAGTCATAGGGAGCTCATCCTCAGTCCAGCCACCCCCCAGGTGGTCTCGGTGGGATCCTTATAACACTCAGATCTGCCCCTGACTCAGCTGCCCCCACCCCACCCTGCCCGTTTCCCACCCTGGCGCTGGCCCTGAGCCCCCTAGAATACTTGCAGTTCCAACGCCAGGGCCATGCTGGTCCTTCCTCCTGGACCACCTCCCTCAAACCCCAACTCATCTCCTTTTTAGACTGCTTCCTACCCTCCAAGGCCCAGCTCCATGTCCCCTCCTCCAGGAAGCCCTCTGCACTGCTCCAAGCTGAGAAACTAGCTCTGACTGCTAGCCTAAGCAGACAAAGGGTTTGTTGAGTGGAGATCACAGATTTGGACTGGAATGTAGAAAACAGGGAGTGTTGGCATCAGCCCTTGTGGGATTTGCCTCACCCCCCAGTCGCTCTGCCAAGATCCAAAGTTGACTCGTCCAGCTCAGCCAGGAGTGGGCAAGTCAGCTTGACCAACACTTTCAAGACCCTTGTCCCCTCTTGTCACCCCAGCGCTCCACAGAAGGGCTTTTTCAGTAAAATCCAATGTCTTGATTCCACCGTTATCGCACACTGCCCTGGATGATGGATACGGAGATGAAGCGTGTGCGTAACAGGCTTCAAAATCAGTCACGCTCCCTGGAATTCAGCACCTCCCCTTCTCCTGTAGTCCTCCCTCTCCAGCCAAGACTTTGGGTGGACTCCTTTGTTTGTTTGTTTTTTTTGTGAGGAAGATGGGCCTGAGCTAACATCCGTGCCCATCTTCCTCTACTTTATATGTGACGCTGCCACAGCATGGCTTGATAAGCGGTGTGTCAGTGCGCGCCAGGGATCAGAACCTGCGAACCCCAGGCTGCCGCAGCCTAGCACATGCACTTAACCGCTATGCCACAGGGCTGGCCCCTGGGTGGACTCCTTTGAGGGACAGAGGGAGAGGGCAAATATGTAAAGTGACAGACCTTTTTGTGAGGTAGGGGCACTCTTTTAAGTGGCCGTGTGTAGAGTGCCATCCACAAGCCAGACCCAGGCTGGGGTTTGCCCTCCACGATCTTCCCAGTCCTCAACACCTTCATCCGCAGTGAGGTTGGGGCTTTGGGGTCCCAGTTTCTAGGGGAGGAACATGGCATGATCAAAGTTTATAAAGCCCCCCTCCCTGGGCTTTTGTGGTAGGGGGGTGGGGTGGGGTCCAGCGGCAAGAGCGACAGGAGGCCAAGGGGCAGTAGAGGGATACTCCATGGTGTGTTTGGGGATAAAGCCACCAGGACCCCTGGATGGCTCTGATGTGGGGGTAAAGGGAAGAGGGTGCCATGGGCACCTTGCAGCCTCTGACCTGGATGGGGGTGATGGGGGACCCCCCTCTTGCACTGGGAAGCCTGCAGAGAATGCATGGTGTGGGGTGAACTCAAGGCCTCTGTAGAGTGTCCGAGTGAGGCTGGAGGGTTCTCTCATCCAACTCAGACTCGGGTCCTAAATCCTCCCCACCTGCTCCCTTCTGTCCCCACTCACCCTCAGAGGAGGGGTGAGCCGCTGTCCCCACTGCAGCCTATGACAGTGGACTCTGGGGATCCAGCCGTGCACACAGCCCTCGCCACCCCCAGTAGCCCCATCGCTGTGGGCACCGTGGTCACAGGGAGGGTGCGAATTCTCCACCTGATTACCGTTCTGGGGATCTTGCTCAGGTCACAAGGACCCTGGCCATTCACATGGGGTGGATGAACTACCTACCTGGTGGTCCCCACAGTGTTGCAGTCACAGCTCCCCACACAACCAGACACAGGACCCCTGGGGGAAACAGGCACGGCCAGAGAGGGCCCCTTCTCAGCCTCTCGATCTCACCCTCATGGGGGACAGGAAGATGCACCAGTCCCTGAAGTCAGTGCCCACAGGCTAAGCTAAGTGTGGGGCTCATAAAAATGTGGGCTGTTTTCAAAGGCTGGCGTCCCCCAGGGCCGGTGGGTGTGGCTCTGTGTCCCCATTCCTGGGAGGCTGAACTTTCACCATCTGCCATCAGGTGGCGCCCAATGGTGTGCTTTGGATTCTGTGCTTCCCACTCAAAACGTAAAAATAAAATAGAAATAGTAATAAATAAATAAAACCCATCTTGGCTTCTAGGGGCTCCACCCCATGTTTTCTGGCTCTGAGCCTGGGGATGCAGAAAGGGCAGTGTCACAGGTCACATGTGTGTGTGTGTGTGATTATACATGTACAGCTTGGGGTGTCCCTGGGCCATAAGGGGACAGTGGGCAGGCTCCCGGCTCCTACAAACACCTCTGGGTCCAGACCCCAGCTCTGCTCCTGCTGGCTGTTTGGGGAAGAAGCAGGGAGGGTTGTGTGGGAGTGTCTTACCACCAGTCTTTCTAAGGACAACATGGTGACGTCAGCCAGGCCCCATGTCACCGTCAGAAGGGCCCTGAGTCTCCCAGGAGCTCGGTCATTGGTTAGAAGCACTGTGAGAAGCATGGCCTGGGCACAGACATGGTGATGGAAGTTGGAGATCTGAGATCTGCGTTTTCGAGAGCACCATAAATAGAGATCGTGGAACCATCAGTGTGGCATGAGAGTGTGGACCTCAGTGTAGTCAGAGAATGTGGGGTGTTAGTGTAGAAAGACGTAGAGAGCATCCACTGAGGATCCACTGAGGATCGGGGAACATGGAATACCCAGTGTAGGACACAGATTGTGGATCCGCCCAGTAGAGGATAGAGAATGAGGAATGTCCAGTGTACAATGGGTAACATGGCACATCCAATGTAGAACAGAGTGAGGAACGTCCAATGTAGAACAGAGATGTTCAGCAAACAATGAAGGACGAAGTACACGGACCAAGAGAAGACTTTGGCATTTGCTCTACATGAAGTGGGAGCCATGGATGGTTGTGAGCAGAGGAGGGACATGGCTCAAGTGTTAACAGGCACCATCAAGGTGCTCAAGGGAAAACAGACTGTGGGGGACGGGGTAGGGGATGGGGGATGGAAGCCACAGGAGGCCAGGGAGGAGGGGACTGCAGGCGAGAGATGATGGAAGCTGGACTGGGTGGAGGCTGTGAAGCCAGGTGGGAGTGCGGTTCCGCTGGCAAGGTGACAGATCAAGTGTGGGGCGAGAGAGGAGTCAAGGCCAACTCCAGAGTTTGTGGATAAGCACCTGGAGGATGGAGCTGCCTTTTCTGCAGTGGAGGCTGCAGAGGGATGATGGGGAGCTCCTGGGGCCGGAATTTGGTGAGTTGCCCATGGTTCCCCTTGTTGGGGTGCTGTGACACCTGGACTCATAAGTCCCATACCCAGAGTATGAAGTAGAGATTTGGGCCTCTTGGGACCTCAGTATCTTCATCAATTCAATGGAGTCTGGCCACCCTGGCCTGCTGGAGGGAGCATATGAGTCAGTCCCACCTCCCTTAGCAGTGGGCCTGCAGCAAATGCCCCCCCTTTCTTTCTTGGCCCCCCTTCTCTGACACCCTCCCTAAGTCCCAGCTTCCCTGGATCCCATCCCTGAGGGGCATCTCATGGGCCCCATGTGGGTCCTGGGAAATCCCAGTGATCCTCACCCCCACTGTCACTCACCCTCTCTGAAGGGGATATTCTGAATCCAAAGGACCAAAGTCACAGTGAATCCCCTGCAAACAGACATCCACATACGCTCATAAACAAAGACAGAAACACCCACAGAGACGAGGCAATCAATTACATGGGCCCCACTCACAGGTACCCACCCCATAAAGACCCTCAGACATCGTCACACCCACGTCCATGTCCACACCCAGGCAGACACATTTATCCTTAGAAACACAGGTGGCAAAACGTAGGCACCTATTGCTAGAAGCCCTTTCCTCCAAGCCCTGAAACAGAAAACATCAGAACATCGGATTCCTGAGGCTGACATTTGGTCCTTGATCCAGCCATGACTGAAGCTGACACTACTTCTAGAGCTTTTCTCTTTTTTGCTGAAGCTTATATGAGTTGGATTTTTTTTTTTTGGCTCCAGAGTTTTGGCTGATAGAGATAAATAAGGCTTTTGCCAGGTGAAAAAGATTGAGAAAAGAGGCATTCCAAGATGGAAGGCAGCATTTACAGAGGCCTAGAGGTATGAGATAGCATGGCCGGTGGCAAGATGTATAATAGTGTGCATAATAGTGCTGGCATGAGACTGAAGTCAGGAGAGGGGTCTGAATGCAGTCTGTGCACTTAGGAGTCTAGTCGGTGGGAGTCATTGAATGTTCTTCTTTTAGAGGTTTTCTTTCTTTTTCTTTGTGAAGAAGATTAGCCCTAAGCTAACATCCGTTGCCCATCCTCCTCTTTTTTTTTGCTGAGGAAGACTGGCCCTGGGCTAAAATCCTGCCCATCTTCCTCTACTTTATATGGGACACCACCAAAGAGTGGCTTGACAAATGGTTCTTCGTGAGCCAAGATCCGAACCTGTGAACCCGGAGCGTGCGCCGCATTGAATGTTCTTGATCAGGGTAGTTCCATGCTGAGAACTACCCAGCGAGAGACAGTGTGTGGATGAATGAATGTATTCCCCGCAGACCTGCAAGACAGGTGCAGGTAAGGCCGCCCTGTGGCTTAGCAGTTAAGTGTGCGCGCTCAGCTGCTGGCGGCCCAGGGTTCGGAACCCCGGGCGCGCACCTACGCACCGCTTCTCTGGCCGTGCTGAGGCCACGTCCCATATGCAGCAACTAGAAGGATGTGCAGCTATGACATACAACTATCTACTGGGGCTTTGGGGGGAAAAATAAATAAATAAAAAATTAAAAAAAAAAAGACAGGTGCAGGCGAGGAGACTGAGACTTGGAGAGGGCGGCCACGCAGGGGTCCCAGATACAGTCCTGACTCAACTGTGACGTGAGCTTGTTGAGAGTCTTCGAACTACAACTTCCGGCATGCAAAGCGAGCGACCTTGTACCTCGTGACTTACCCAAGCTTGATGATTGGTCGCTCAGGCTGTTTGTCAGATCAGGGTCGGCTCTGATTGGTCGAGTTCTACGAGCTCCCCGAGCCCCGGGCCCGTGGTTCGCTCACCGCGCTCCGGGCCGCGACATGGTGAGCCGGCGACCGCAGGGTCGGGGGTCCCTGAGGGGCTAGAGGTCCCGCCGAGGGCGTCCAGGGAGACGCCGACGGGACGAGGGTCCCTTTGTAGGGATTGGTGGCTCAGAGGGACTCGGAGTCACGCTGAGGGCCGGCCGCGTGTCCCTCTCTCGCGTCAGAGCCTCGCTCCGGGACCTATGAGGGGGCGGGGGTCGTGCTGCGGGGACTGGAACCCTCTGAGCGTTCTGGGGCTCTGGCAAGTCTCTGGGGACCCTCTAGGGCCTGGAGTCCTGCCCAGGGGTGGTGGCCCCGCCCACGGGACTGGGGCTCGAGCACTTTCGGGCCCCACGAGGGAGATCTAGGGACGAGAGTCCTGAGGAAGCGTGGTCTATCGGGGGTCCCTACGGTATCGGGGTGCGTGGACGGGCCAGGGAGCACTGAGAGGAGGCACCAGGCCCAGGGATCGAGGTGGCTCAGAGAGGGCGAGGGTCCCGGAATTGCAGACGGCTTGTTGGAACCCTCAGGTCTCACGCGGCTCCGGGTGCAACCCATTGAGTCAGGTCTTCCAACTTAGCCCAGCCCCTAGGGGGCAGGCTGGTGCGGGGCGAGGTTGGGGACCCCCAGCCCCGAAGGGGTTCAGACTGGGCAGAGGGAGGGACAGGCTGGAGGGGCCCGGATGGCGGCCTGACCCTGCCTGGGCGAGGGGTCCCCGAGGAGGGGCGTTGGCGGTGGGCCTGAAGGAAGAGGGTTGATGGAGGGGTGGTTGAAAGTGAGGGTCGTAGGGCCGGCCCTGTGGCTTGGTGGTTAAGTGCGCGCGCTGCGATGCTGGTGGCCCGGGTTCGGATCCCGCGTGCGCATCGAGGCACCACTTCTCCGTTCATCCTGAGGCTGAGTCCCGCATACAGCAACTAGAAGGATGTGCAGCTACGACATACAACTAT